GATGCCCATCGAACAACGTGATTGTGATTGGTTCGGGAAAACAGGTCAAGACAACTCCAATATAATTACATATTAAATTTTGTATTAAGTCGTACGAATAGCCAACTGGGACATTGTTCTTGAGGACTTCAATGACCTCGCAACAATTCGTTAAGCGATCGACGTTCTTTAACCCTATGGGGATCAGCTATGAATTCGATTCGATTAAGCTTCGTAAACGTGATAGAACTCACACTTAACCTATGCAGTTAGTTAAGCGGACCTGTTGTTGCACCAGCCCAGTGTTTTATTTCCCTAAATATGCTCGGTGACAACCCTGGAGCGATGGAGAGTTTTTTGTATTTAATAGATTAGACGAGTAGCCCACCATGTGTCTATTGTAGGACATCTCCAATCACTGCATTGCATGAGGTGCAGCACGGCTGCAGATAAAATTGAAAAACTTTGTCCTGCAGTATGGTTTCTATGCTTTCTTCCGGCAAGATTCAACAAAGGATTATATGAAATACTTCTTATTACTGACTTCTATAAAAAGTGGTCGTTGGAACACTGAAGCGCATTGCGCAAGCGCACTTCGACACTTAGACACTTGGACACTTGGACGACCAGTCCTCACTGGTTGTTCGGGCTCCAGCATAATCTCCATTTTTCAGAGTTTTGCTGGTTTAGATATTGTGGTTTTCTGGAGTCCTGAGATCAGCCTCGCCAATGTCTCCCCCAGGTCGTCGCCACCACCACAGGCACTCGCGGCCTTTGCTGATCAGAGGAAATTTCCCACCACGCAACTAGTTTGATGCCGGGACGGTGGTGGATTCTGGTATTGGCTTACTCTTAACTGGGCTTTCTGATGGAAACGCCGGACTCCTCAGCTTGGGAGACCTTGCCGAGGGGTGGAGGGCGAATCCTTCCGCTGTACATCGCGGCCCGACGTCCAGGAAACCTTCCAGCTTAGATGAGGCGGTAAACCGTTGGGAGCGAAGTGCAATAGTATAGAAACGAAAGATCACGTTTAGCACTATGTGCAACTGATTCGATCATTCATCGTGAAAACGTACAAACGGTAATATTTGCTCTACGTTATCGTTATTACAGAAAAAATGGAATGTTTGTCCGAAAACGGTTTCCCGGACGACATACAGCCGTTTACTTAACGACACCATGAATTAGTTCATTGTATGCAATTCGCCGTAGTATGGCCATTTGAGGACGTCCGATAAAAAATAAGATAGCATCGTTGATCAATAGTATCTGCAAATTCTCAAAAAAGAGTAGTTAGACTTGAACTTGAGTGTTTGCAGGATCCATGCTCAAGAAAAGCCATAGCAACTTGGCATAGCTTCCAGTTAACATACGTGTTGCTTCTTCTGGAATTTTTCCACGACCGGAGTCCCGAAATAACTGTACCTTACTATGTCACTGTAAATGATCGAAAAGTAGTCGGCCATCTTTCTAATGGCTTTTTTACTGCTACAACAGCGGTCTGCTAGCGAGAAACAAACTTAGCTGTTCGTGGCAGTTCGAGCCCTACAGTACACTCTAGCCATGAGGCGGTAATTCATTGAAGGTGGTCATGAGTAGGATAGAGTGAGGAAAACGTTTAAATTCACTGTTAGTTGTCAACCATTTAGAAAGGAGAGGTTGTCATCATTCGTTGGTTGACGATATCTGCTGCTAATAAGTAACGTGGTTTCGATCATCCGGCCTGTGCTTTGTGCAGAATAACACCATCATTTATTTTTATGTCTTGTAATCACGCGTGATCTCACACAGTATTTAAGAGATATTTTTATGTGATATAGGCACATTGCACTTCATGTGAACTCTCCGCAGTTGCCCTCCACGTGATGTACTCAGTGGACCCCTTGTAGAAAGCGGTGAGTGAGAAGCGAAGTTATTTTGTTTTCAATGGGATTGAAATCTTGGTTTAGCATTCTCTCACTGCAATCAACTTGACCTTTCCACGCTCTGAGGAAGGCGAAATTCGCCGGAACATTAGCTCGTTCTTGAATAAGGAATAAAGCAACACCCCGGTTTCGCTTAACAATAATATAGAGAATTAACTGGAAAATTCATCTGTTGGTCATGTGTTTAAATCAATGGCATCACCTCCATGTAAAAAATGATAAATTTCACCATTGTTTGTAGATTTGTATTAGCAGATTCCATCTATTTTATCCGCATTCAAGGGCGCATGTAGCCCATTGATTAGAGATACTCTGGAATACAAAATAGTTGATGGCTCGATCCCACGCTTCGACCTCACCAAGGGATTCATCACTCTAAATTCACAAATTAATAGTTGACTTGTAAATGAGATAATAAGCTCCTACTTATCCAACAGTCGGCCACCGCAAGTCATTCTATAAGACAGATATCCATTCATTTACCTCTACGATGCTTAATGAAGATGAATGCTTTGCGCATTCTACATTTAAGGGATTGATCAAAGCCGAAAACAACATCCATGACATCAAGAATAAAGGATAAAGTCCTCGGCGTTGATCAATCCTTGCGGGATGCACCATGCATTCAACCACATTAAGTACCATTGGAGGTGATTGAATGCATATCTGGCCTTGTATCGAGCCAGTGCTGCTATCCTCGCACAAGTCTGGTACCAATTTGCCGACCCCGGAAGGATGGAAGGCTTGGTGGGCCATGAGCACGGGAATAGATTTTCCGTGTGTGTCGCAGTAACGCCTCCAACCACTGCGCCATATAGAGAATTCCTCTATCAGATAGAGAATTCTCTATCTACCTAGCAAACAAATTCTATAAATCGATAGAGACCGCATTTGCCACAACGTCCGCGTGCATTCACACCACCAAACATGTTATTGGGTACGTCTCATTGCTTGGAGAGTAGACTCCGAGACCCGAGCCTTGACCCTACGATCAACGCCACTCGCCCGGACGTAGCCACGACTATTAACATCGTCATTTGGCTTCTGACGACGCCTTGGAGATCGCCGTTGCCATTCCATCATCATTTTCATCGCGCCTAATCTTTCTTTATTACAAATTCATTTGTTTAGGTTGTAATGATATTAACTGTAATGCTTAGCTCCTGCATTGCTAATACATTAATGTTATCGTCGATTCTCATGTAATTACATTGTTGTATTAACAGCTGCTTTGTATAAAAGATCGCTGCAAAGCGAGCTTCTTCATTCGCTGTTCCACTGGGTTCGACTTGATGCGATCACGAAGACCTACATCGGAAGAAGGAAGAATTGTGGAAAATCGACTCGGATCAACTTGACTCGACCAAAAAAACACGACCCAAAGGCGCCGAAACGTTTGTCCAATGAAGGTTTTATCAACCTCATGTTAGCCTGTCAGTGAAAGAATACAAGCTGAACAAGTACTCATGGTGTCACTAGCAAAAGAAGAAAACAAATTCTCAGGCCTTAAGCAAGATTGATCTTCGTGGTGTGAGGGAACGAATCCAATAGTTGAATTGCTTGCGGTCGCATATGTAAGTGTATACGTAATGAAATAACCTCAATGTTTAACGTTTTGTTTTCTACCTTCTATGATTTTCATGGCAGTTTACTAAGCGAAATACAACCACAACGTTGCTGCCCACCAATCAGCGGGGTTGATCTGGGGAGCGCAAATCGGCAGTTAAGCTATGGCTATAGTTGAAATCACAATGTTTGACGTTTTGTTTTCTGCCTTTTATAATTTGATTGTTGTGACAAAAAGATCGATAGAAATAGCTGAGAGACAGGCGAAACGAAGGACCTGAATGGTGTGGTGGTGAATGGGTTACTCCCCGGAAAGGACAATAGTGCGTTCGTTCCCCACCATAGACACCTGCGGTCCAGAGTTTTGCAAATATCTCAGCAACGTTGAAATAACCTCATATTTTTGACAGATATCTAACGACGGTTGAGATTACAGGTTTCTTTTCTATAAGCTTTTTTCTCTACGCAAAGCGGTTTTGGATCAGGTGTACGATTCTACGGCTTTCAGCGAACATGGTACAAATTGTCAATAGCTCGTTGAAAAGATGCACACGGTTGTCTCAGTGCAGTGGTGCTTCAACATCAAAACTAAATAAAAATAATAACATAATAAATAATAATAATAATAAATAATAAAATTCAAAAATGAACCGCAAGGAGGAGTGTCTTGTCATCACGCGTGACCTGGCGCCATACCTCAGGCTGATCCAATGACCTGACATGGACCCAGTTATCGACCATGTATTGCTCTGTGCGGCGGCTATCCACCAACTAACTTAAATACATACAACAAATAAACGGTAGGTGTTTGAATGAAGCTGTTTCTTATGCGAATGCAAATCGATTTGTCAAGTCTTATCTGCTGGGGTTATGAAAGTGTTTGGCTGAGTAGATCACATCTCAATTTGACCTTTCCAGGCTCTGAAGAAGGCGAAACCGCCGAAACGTCAGCAATTGTGTTCTAATAAATTCTATATTAACAACCTCGTGTCTGCTTATTGATGAAAAACATAAAAATAGTAGTTTATGTTATGTTAGTAGTATCACAAAAACTTTCTCAAGTGTGTTAGATTAACCCGACGCCTTATAACAATGTGGATAACTATGAGGAAAGAAAGGTCCCATTTTCAATTAATAATAAACAGTAAAAATCAAATCACACACATCAAAGAGCTTAAAGGAATGCAAAAAAGGAAAAAATATGAAAAAGCAGCTCAGAAAACTCTTAGCAACTAAGTGAACGAAATTACCATCAACCGACATACCTTAGGAAAAGAACTTAATCCTAAGAATGGATAGGCATTTTGTGTCGATTAAAGGTTTCACGAACGTATCTGAATAGGTGTTCACCGAAGAACTACAGACAGGCTTCAAATAATTATAACAATGGGCGCCAGTGATAGCATCACACATTCAATGAACAACACTCCGAAGTTCCAGACTACGAAACTACCTTTACAATATGTGGTATTAGAAGATAGCCATCACTAAGGAAGGAGAAAAAATGGAGCCGAAGCACTGCTCACAACACTACAACGTGATAGTTCGTAGAGCGTCCGCGTCGAAGATCTCCAGCAAAACTTCGGTGCCGTTGTTGAACGGGATCTTCGTCGCACCGTCCAACACCAGAAATCCTTTAGAGCACTTAGATTTCAGTCGAATGCGTCGAGCGAAGCCACGTACTTTTGTTCGCTTATAGGTCCCGTTAAAAATCGGCTCGCGAATTGAGTACGCGAAATCTGGAATGGATTACACATTTATCAAAAGGTTTTCGTTCATCTCTTAAGTTTCTTTTGACAAAGACATGGTCGACATGTGTTATAATAAGATAATTTAGCACAGTGTAACTACAATGATGACTTTTTTTGTTCACTGGCTGTTATAATTTTAATCTCGTTGACGGATGATTGCTGATGGCGCTGATCGATAGAACTAGCCGAGAAGGAGGCGGAATGAAGGACCCGCATGGTATGGTGGTGAGGGCTTTACTCCCCGGAAAGGACAATAACGTGTTCGTTCCCACCGCAGACACCTGCGGTGCGGAGTTTTGCAAATGTCTCAGCATCATAGTAGTTGCTTCACAGTGTAACTAATTTATTAAGGCTTTTTATTTTAGTAACTTAACTACGTGTTGCTATTCATTACATCTTCTGCCGAACTTTTTATCACAATCGTTATTTCTCATTCGTTCAACATAAATACATGGCAGAGAGCTTTGTGTGGCAAAACAAATGCAAGTCATATACGACTAACACTGTAGGAAATGTTCCACGTATGAGTGATATATGATTCATATTGCTGAAAATCTGGTAATTGTATTCCACAAAACACTATCAGCATCACAAGGAAAATGAACTTTAAAAAGTCGAAATGACAAACTTGGATGACTAGGTTCGAAGACGATCTTGTCGTTCATCTTTTTCGCAATCTCGCCAGCTAATTTGCGCATATTTGCCTTCACCTCAACGCCAAGACTCTGCATAGCTTCCAGAATTGCCTCAACGCTCTGTTCTTCTACCCGATTCATACCGTAGTACCTATTTTCAACAAGAATTATGCAAAATACTCAAGCAAGATGTGAACATCGAATATTTATTACACTAAGCTGTTCTGGCAAGTTCTGACTTCGAAGATTTTCCAACTTATTCTAGGAAATGGATATTGCCTTGCTTTGGGCAAACTACATTCCTTATTTTCCGCTAAACCATATTTTATTGCTCTCGATTACCAAACAGCCCTTTATTCAAAGGATTTACTTACCAACTCGTACTCCCAGTACCCGTCGATACGATGAGACCACTGCTCTTCTGCTTAACCATAGGTTGATCATCGATCGAAATCGAGTATGTAGAAACCTTGAAGCATTAAGAAGTTACTTATTCGATATCTGAATGGTCAACCTTTATGAAAAATGATCGTGAAATCTCTAACGTGACCTCAACATCGTACTAGGGACTCCCATTTCGTGACCAAAGGTCGTCACCGCTTACGAACCAAAGAATATCTGTTGTCATGCTATTTGGTATCTTCAAGAATGGCAACACGTCACGACAACGGCTGATTACATTTAACATGGTTTACAGAGGAAATGTTATGGTTCGATATAATCCCGGTCATTATAGATGTTTAATCGATTATAATCTAATATTAAGTGTGTAATAAGGTTGAATGACAAAAGGAATCGCTGCCAACCTATCATAATCTTAGTGATCGGTTAAGTGATCTTCCTTCCGATCCACAAGGGGTGCGAACAGCGTGTGGTGATGAAACCGAAAGCGCAATCACGTCTACATCTCGGATTCATGGAAGAAACGACACTGTATCCAACAATTCCCAATTGTTTCAGAGAAGAAAAAACGACAAATGCTCAAACACTCACCCAAACCCAACCACTTCCTCACACGAAGTTTATGTGACAACGAAACTATTGCGAGAAGTTTTAAGACCAGCACATTTGATGAGTGGCTATTTCAGCGTAATATGCTACTGTATTCTCATTACTTATTACATACAAGTACGGTGGAGAGTAGTGCAGTTCTTAATGATGCACCCCACTAGAAAGCAAGGTGCTAGTCCGACCTCTCCGTAAGCTCTCATTCGTCTTATCTCGACTTTTTCAAGATTAGAATGAGAATCGACTATACCAGCATTCTACGACATTCATAAGCACGACGAAATACCGAACCAGCACAACACACGAAATGTTCGAAAACCCTTGTGGACGATGAATGCAAGGAAAATGAGTTGAGTGAAAGAAGTGCTTTGATTCAAGCAATAGATGTGACAATGGACCGTGAAACAGAAAAAAAATCACATATAAGTCACCTTTGCCGCTTCGTTTTCTCCCACAAACACCTCATTCAGCGCTAAGATACAACCGTTTTTCGTCGCTGATTTTCTGTTCAGAACAGTGACTCGAATTCGACTGCGTTTCGCATACATGAAAATTTTCTTTTATAAAATTAAGGACATAAATTCCAGCAAAAATAACAGACACAATTATAACAGTACGAATACTTCTATAATGCCGAGATATTTGAAAACTCCGGACCGCAGGTGTTTGCGGTGGGTTCATTCCCCACCGCAGACACCTGCGGTCCGGAGTTTTGCAAATATCTCATCATTATAGAAGTTATATTTCGCAACATACCCTGCCGCTGAAAAAAAATAGGCAGTAAATAAAAAAGGTTAAGTAAGCATACTATAATCAATTCCTGTGGGATGTGCCATGCATTCGATTCCATTAAGCATCGTTTGGAGGTGATTGGATGGATATCTGGCCTTTACAATAACTAGCAGTGGCCTACCGATGTATCGGGCCAGTGCTGCTAACCTCCCAGACAAGTCTGGTACCAATTCGCCGACCACGGAGGGTTGGAAGGCTTGGTGGGCCATGGGCGCTTGGATCGATTTCACATGTGTGTTGGATGTCGTCTCCGACCACTGCGCCACACGCGCCTTTAAGCATACTATAACATCAATATTTTCTTTGAAGTAAAAGTATTTCACAACAATTTAGTTAACCATTTTTCTTCAGAGTTACCACTTTTGAAGATTGGCGGACACATTTCAATAGAAATGCATTGAACACAATGCATTCGATGCCAAAATAATGGCCGCTTTCAATTTCAGAGAAACACATCCCAGATCATACCAGAATTTATCAGTTAAAACAAAAATATTAGCATCTACAGAATTTGGCCAATTTCTGGAAAGTGAAAATAACTTCCATTTACCAAAATGAAACCATGATTGCCTGAAGCCCACGAAACTAATTTCTTCCAGTTTTTCTGCGCCAAGGCCCCACAATGATATTCTAATAAGAAAGCAATTGAACAAATGGGATTTTGTCCAGCAGGATACCAATGCGTGTGTCGGTGTATCGTTTACCTTTCTGGCTGCTGCATTTGCATTGGAAACGTGAAACATTTGAATTTAGCTTGAAATTTTTCTAGAAATCTCACATTTTCACATGCTTAAAATTGAAATAATAGAACGCGAAAATTGTGTATACAAGTAAGGCCATAAAGGAGAGTAATTTCTGTCGGACTACGTATTTCCCAACTTGTAAAATGCTCTGCTCATCAATGTTTTTCATCAATAAGCAGACACGAGGTTGTTAATATAGAATTTATTAGAACACAATTGCTGACGTTTCGGGGGTTTCGCCTTCTTCAGAGCCGTTTATTTGTTGTAAGTATTTAAGTTAGTTGGTGGATAGCCGCCGCACAGAGTAATACATGGTCGATAACTCTGCTCATCTTCGAGCGTTACGTGTTAACCCATTAAAAATTTCGCAAACATAAAGACATAAATGAGATGAGAATTTTTTATTAAAAGTTAAAAAAGGTTGGAAATTATAAAGATTAATAATTTGTAGCAAGTAATAACCGCTGCTAGTAACAACGTGAAATCGTTATGAAAATTAATACAACTGTATATAATGGGAAGATTTTGTAAAGACCATGCTTGAGTTGAAGAAAAAACCAACTGGAATTTTCCTTCGACAAGTCGCTGGAATAGATCGTGTGGAGGATTCTTTCCACCAACACAAAGATATCCTTCAGATCTGAACACGATTATAAATATTCGCAAATCCCACAGAGTTGATAGCTTGTGTTTTCATTACCAGTTGGTAACAAACAGCCAAAGCAAATAGGTGGACCCCTTTCGTTTTCTCTTTTTCAAAATCATTTTTATTAAATCTGGCACGACAGGTGCCTTATACTTTTAGTTTGAGCTACTATATTTCCATCATTTTTGGCAAATAAAAGCAGGAACAAATGTTTACAAAGTTTAAAACAACAGTTTGGTAGAAATTAACTAAACGAATAAAGGTAGCTAGAACGTACCCGACAGGATCGGTGTTGATGCCGACGACAGGAGTATGATCAGCCACAGCGGCGGCTGCAGTAAGGAACGTGCCGTCACCGCCTGCCGACACCACCAAATCCGCCCACGGAATCGCCTCGCCCAGCGACTGCCGATCCACGAGTTGCGTCGTGATGTTCGCATCCCTTCAAAGCAATCTCTTACATCAGTTGCCCAATTCTTCGAGTACCTAACGTGATCGTCGAGATCAATAGAAACTAAACACATAGAGAAAATTTATGACGGCGCAGAGCATGAATATTTAGCGCACCAAATGAACACAATTTCAGGCACGATTATCTCCAACTCGTCTTCATGAATCACTTTTCTCGCGCGGTGTCCATCACAGCTACCATTTCAATGGTAATTTGGTCATTTAGCAACATTCTCTTCCACTAAAGTCTCGACATCCGTGCCATGTCCGCACCATTTCCCAACTGGTTAACTACAAAATTGTCGTCCAAATATACTGGCCCAAATTTACGCATAGCCGGTATGCTCGAGTACATTTTTGAACTTTTCTCAGCATGAAAGAGCCTGCAGGAGAATTAACTCTAGCTGTGCATCGGCTACAAAAGCGCCTGTGAGCTATATACGGCTACTGCTGTCGTCGATGTGATAATAAAGCACTTTAGAAAGAAAGGATTTGATAGAAATGAAATTTGCTATGCAACATTATAACCTACGGGACAAAAATTAGAAAGGATAGCTAGTGGATATCTAAAAGACCTTTCATTATGATACAGATAAAGTAGGATCATCAATACACTTAGGAAACGAATGTAAATTTAAAAAAAAAGTAAAAAGCATAAGTTACAAAAAATAAAAAATAACTAATAATAAATAATTAGGAAAAAACCGAATCATGTTACAGTTCAGAAAATGGAGTTAGCAAGAAGTTATTCCTGTGTAACAAACACATCCGAAATATAAAGATATACAAGAAAGCCCTTTTTAACGCATTCACGACAATGCAGCTTTTTCAAGAAATACTACCTCGGAATAGGTGGATCTCTTTCCTTAGCACCGTTAGAGCCCTAAATAGGTTGCGCTGTCACGATTGTGTTAACATAGAAAATAATCCGATTTTCATTCCTGTCACCAATTTCCTAATTCAGTTTAACACCCAGCTTTATGCTAGATCTTCTTTTTCACATGTCGCCGAATACCTTAAAGGATAACGTTGGCATAACCACTCATTCATTAACACTAATTATATGCTTACATGCTTACCGCAGCCTTGACAGAATTTCCGCGACAGCGGCCTTCTGCTTTTGATCGTTCTCAATCATACTATCAACTTCATGTCCTTTACGTCGAAGGTAGTCTATAAGCTGTGCTGCAGATTTATGCGGATGCTTCTGTTTCTCCCAGTCCAATCGTGTCATCTTTTGCAGAACAACGGCTGTACGGAAATGCTGAAATAACTGAAGTTCCAAAAATACAAACTCCCACCTTAAAATCATCAACTCAGCATAAAATCGCTCCAAATGGTGAGAGAAAGCGTGAAGAATGGAACTTCGACAAAACTGCGACTTCAAATTTCATGATTGTCTGATGATGATTTTTTATAAAACGATTCGTAACTGTTTCTCCACGGTGGTGCTGTGAAAATTTTTACTATTTTCGCACTAAAGCAAAGACCTCGACTTGCAATGGATACAAGTTTTTCCTTAAGATATTGACAACAATGCATATTCTCAAATTTTGTATTCACTTTACATCAAACCCTCATTTTCTAAACATTGATAAAGGAAATTAGTAGCGCAGTGATAGTGGGCCCGTTCATTATGCAGATGGGCCAATGCGATCTGGCGGTGGTTTCACTCCCCACTGACCCGGCTCACCAAGGCTCTAATCCCATCGGGATCGGAAAACTGGTACCAGATTTGCCTGAAACAAGCTGATTCCCTCCAATCCACGTGCGAACGCTCAAGCATGGCTATGCCAGGATTGCAGGAAAAATCGATCACCATTCAACGACATTGGTGACGAAAATAAAAAACTCTCAACAGGCACACACGCAAAAAGTTTGAAGACCTTCGTGGCTGGTGAATGCGAGGAAACCAGCCGAATGCAAGAACTGCTGCGATTCACACAGTGTAATGCATGCGATGGAAAAACATCGAAAAACAATGCTTACTTAAGTATTCAGGTAGCCAACCCTCATAAACGACACAGTTGATTTCAGCACTTATCCATCCAAGTATTATTTGATGATATGACGAGACTATTCACACGAATTCTTCATAAGCGCACGGTAAAACCCTCCTAGGACTGGCCTTTATGATTCGACGAGAGGCTGACCACCTTGGAACTACTTTTCTAGCAACGCAGCTGTGAATCTTGGAGTTGATTCATTCTTAGCTAGGTTTTCGTTTAATAATGTAAGATTCCCACATAGACTGGTGACCGAACGAACTAAGGAATCCCGCTGAACCTTTCTATGCAAAATATATGAATATTTACAGCTTTGATACGGTCGACCACCACCACGAATTAGTGTATGGACCAGATATGCATTCAGTCACCTCTAACGATGCTTAATGAAGTCGCTCGGCGCATCCTTTAAGAATTGATCAATGCCGACAGCTTTCTATTTTTATTGTCAATCTACGGACACTGCCACTGCACTACTAACTTTAGAAGCAAACAATTTGACAACACCATTTCAAGTGCATCTCGTCAAAAGCCAGGAATGGATATGTACATTTTTAAAGAGAAAAGAAAGTAATAATAACTGTAGGAATATGAATGTTGCAACAAAAATTAACACACCTGCGACGGATTACTAACACTTGGCACCTCCGCTTCGGGTAATGTGATTATCGCTGGCTGAACTTTAACAATAGCCGTCATCTCCTTAACATAGATGTGAATAACAAGGCAGAACATATCAATCTGAGAAAAAAGAATTGATGATAACTGTTCGTCGAAATGGATATAGAGAGTAATCACGAGAAATGCGCAACTACTTAGAAGGATTGTAATCTCTCAAGCATTCATGAACAATAGAACATTTAGAACGACGTAGTTGAACTGGGGTGAAATAGTCTGTGCGTTACTAAGTTTATTGGAATACAGAATAGGAAACAATTTTCTTAGGAGAGCATTCTTTTCATTCTTGAAACTGATGATCATTTCACAAGACATATGACGTTCAATGAAATCAATAAAGAAACCCTCAAATTTACTACCATCTGTTGCAAAAAATAAGCAACAACAACTTTAAAAAACCGCAAAACCGTTACATAAAGTAAAAATATAGAACTGCAGATGGTGAACTGGAGAAGGTGCAGAAGTGACGTGAAGTGGGCCAGTTAGGGTTAAGTTTCTTGCTGACTGCGATAAGAATGTTTAACAATTGCGTCATAGAATCTCTCAGTTGGGAAGCATAATAGCAAACAAAAGAAACAGGAACTCAACAGCATTTTGAAGGGAACAGAAGCAAGAAAAAGGATAGGCAAGAAAGATGATGATGTGGGACAGTAACAATAGTCATATTTGAAGAAGGCATTGTGATCGCATTCAGTGAAATATTGGAAACGCAAATTAACAGATAGATGGAGAGATAAAAAGTGAAACCGTGAATGAATATTGTTAGATTGTTTGGTAAATCATTGCCTTGTGGTTTTTTGCAGGCCTAACGTTTTACTTTTAGCTAAGACATTTTTACCCATGCCACAGCTCAGTTCAAACGATAACTCTTCACTTTCATGTTAACCTTGAATATTTCTACTTTACCTGTGCTCAATTTATATTACTGAAAAAAAAATGAAAAAAATACTGGCGGTTATTTGATATGCATTTAATGGGAGATATGGGATCGCGCACACAGCTCACAATAACAACACATTAGGTCGTTCCGGAATTAATGTCCAATTTTAATCGGTATTTTTAAAGTGTGGCGTGTGTGGGCGCAGTGGTCGGAGGCGCCCTGCAAAACACACGTGGAATCGCTCTTCGCGCCCGTGGCCCACCAAGGCTTCCATCGCTTCGGGGTGGCCAAATTGATACCACCAGACTTGTCTAGGAGGATAGTAGCACTGGCTTATCGATAAGCCACGGTGAGCCCTTGTAAAGGCCGGATATGCATTCAATCACCTGCAAAGAAAGCTTGATGATGTCGAATGCATGGTATATGCCTCAGGGATTGATCAACGTCGACAGCTTTATCCTTTATCCTTTTTTATTTCTAAATTGGCATACCTTGGGTCACAATAAACATTACTAGTCGCAATAAAAAAAATATTGGAATGCACACATTTTCGTCAAAGAAAAACAAGTTCACATACATCTGTTCCCCAAAATTTTGAATTTTTTGAGCCGATTAAAGCGTTGAAGGCAGCCATGTGAGGATTTCCGGTCTTTTTTTCTCAAATGAATTTCGTTGAATGCTGATCAAGCCGTTAATTTCTTGATGGCCCAATACGAGGTTGTTAGTACATTATTTTTCTACAATAGCATATATTTCGGCGGTTTCCATTCTTCAGAACCTTANTTTCGTTGAATGCTGATAAAGCCGTTAATTTCTTGATGGCCCAATACGAGGTTGTTAGTACATTATTTTTCTACAATAGCATATATTTCGGCGGTTTCCATTCTTCAGAACCTTATCGTTCTCTGTAAGCCTTATAGTTATTTGTTGGAGACAAGCCTCACAGAGTCTTAAGTGGGCGAGGAATGTCACCCCATGCGGTAGAATGGAGGGTAACTGTGAACAAATAAAAGGCAGCTTCGGCTACGACTTGGTTTCTGAAGCATTTTAAGCACAGAAAATTATCAAAATGCTTGAAGAAGTTCGATAGGTGAGATGTTTGGCAAGTATGGTGGATGAGTCAAATTTTCACAACCCAGATCGGTTCAACTTATCCAGCGCTCGCGGTGCGACATATGGTTGGGTGTCATCATGGCGAACAACTGGTGCCTTTCTGTTGATTAACGGAGCGCAGTTGATAAAGGTTCTCGTGCATTTTGCCGAATTTCTAGACATGCCTTCAAGCAGTAATCGTTTTACCTGGACTCAGGAGGCTGTGATGAATGAAATCAGCTGTAGTCCACCAAACGCTCTGCAAGACCTTCGTTTGGTGGAAGTTCGGTTTCAGAGGTGCTGGAGAACTTTAACGCGGTCCGACCACTGAGTCGATCGCTTCTAGTTACCAAAGAGGTCACCATTTATCGCTGCGCCTCTCAATACGACAGAAAAACGGGTCGTTCTCGTTGTAAAGATGAAGAGCAGACGACACTTCAATATCGACGACTTTTTTGATTGTCGTTCAATTCACGCCGCATCCATTTTCAACTTGTTTAAATATCCCAAAACGTATTGAAAGTCTTATATCGAGTTCTTCTACAAGTTCTCGAGCAATAGCGGATGTATTTGCTTGCATGGAAACCGATTCATCGCGATATATAGCAGAAGGACGTCCGTGAACACTCTCATCTTGAATGTCGAATGCACCACAATGAAACTTTTCCAAAACAATATTGCACCCTGTGTTCAATAGAACTCTTTTTCCTTCGACATCTCAAGTTCCCAAAAATCTGTTAAAACTGCAATATGAATTATAATTCGATGATATGGAGCAATGTACATGAAATGAGCTTTGGAGTAGCATACAACACCCCATATTGGAAAGAAAAGCTATTGCTAATACATCTATAAGAAAAATGAAGTCGTAATTGAACGTTAATTTCGAGATCTAACTGGATTTCACGGTGAAACCGTTAACGACTATTTGGTACAATGAAGTATACATATATATATATTTATATATATATATATATATTTATACATATAAACACGTATATAGACATATATATATATGTATATATATCCGTTTTCCAAAAGGATCTAGTGCGATGGATCACATCCACACGATAACAACGCTCTTGAAGTATCACGAGAGCACAAAAGACTGCTCTGTCTCACTTTCATCGATTTACAGAAGGCCTTTGATTCAGTTGAGGCAGAAGCAGCCATGGAAGCCCTTGATAGTCAAGGAATCCCTACTCAGTACATAAAGATCCTTCGTGAGCTGTATAAAAATTTCACAACCACAATATCACCATTCTACAACGATATTAACATTGACGTCAAAAAAGGTGTTAGGCAAGGCGATAGCATTTCGACAAAATTATTTACCGCCACCCTCCAGAACGTCATGCGAACATTGGAATGGGATAATATGGGAGTGAAAATCGATGGTCGGCAGTTACGCCATCTTCACTTTGCTGATGACATCGTTCTTATAACACCAAACATTAGCCAAGCGGAACGTATGCTTGACGACTTCGATAAAGTCTGTGGAAAGATTGGTCTTCGACTATATCTCACAAAAACGATGTTCATGAAGAACGGATTGGTTCCACATGCCCCATTCACGCTCAACGGAACGAATACCTTCGAATGCTCCAGTTATATCTATATAGGTCGGGAAATCACTATGATGGACAACCTAGCTCCAAAGTTGAGTAGAAGGAAACGAGTAACTTGGGGAGCTTTCAAGAGCATCGAGGGCGTAATGAAGAGAACAAAGAACACCCGACTCCGTGCCCACCTTTTCGACTCAACAGTACTTCCTGCCCTAACGTATGCGTCAGAAACCTGGTCGTTGCATAGGCAGAATGAAAGGTTACTCAGCGTTATCGAACGCGCTGTTGAACGGACGATGCTAGGAGTATCCCGTTCCACACAAGTAAGCGATGAGATCCGAACCTCCGATCTGCATCAACGATCAAAAATCAAAGATGCCGTTCTGTACGCCAAACAGTCGAAGATAAGGTGGGCCGGACACGTATTGCGTATGAATGACAACCGATGATCGAAACCATCTGAAGGAGTGTAATGAAGTACATCCATTCACAATAGCTACACAGCAAGATCCAAGATGAACAGACTTTTTTTGGAGAATTGTAAACGAGAAACAGGATGATTTCCGCAGATTTTTCGTGAGCAGAGTACACTGGGCAACTACGGTATGCGACGGAAACGAATGGAGACTTTGCAGGTACCTACTTCATTAATTTGGTCTACAATGGGAGAACATATGATATTGTAATATTATCACACTGACTATAAAGAGCGTCCTTGAAGTTAAAATTCACCTCAAACCCTCCATTATTGAAACACTTTTCGAAATTTTATTCATGAAAATTCAACAGAGGGAGATAAAAATAAATGCAGCAAGTGAAAAAATATACGAGGGCGATAAAGCAAATAGTAATTTTTGAGCTTTAACCTAGTGCTTTTTCCACGACAGGCTACAAGTGACAAACAACCACAAAGATGCCGAGCTATGCGCAAAACTCGGGATCTCATGTGGGCTTAGAATCCTCGTAGGGGCTCACGTGGTTGTATTTCACATAGTATTATGCCAAGAAAAAAGAATGGACAAAAAATAAAAATTAAACATTGTGATTACGATTGCAGCTTCAGCTTTACTGGGTACAATGCCGACTTATGCTCTTTAAATCATTCCCGCTAGGAAGTGACTGCTGGTAGCACCGATAGAGTAATAACTGTCCGAGAAAAAGGCAAAGGAAAGACCTCGGTCAGCGCGGTGGATAGCACATTAGTCCCGATAAAAAGTAATATAGCACCATTTATACACATAGGTATATCATGTGGTTTTCAAGTAATCCCAAGGAAACCCAACTGGCATAAGTACATTAAATTCCTCTCCGAGCATCAGCGCCGCTAAGTTGGCTCTTCTCAATCAATCCAGGTGCAAGAGCGCTACATGTAGCATAACCCTTCACTCTTCTTTATTTTAAACGATTTTGGCAAGAAGACAGCCACAGATGGCTGTTCAAGTTTTGCTTAGTGTAGGGTAATTAAAGAAAACGGCGCATGAGTT